CAAAATGAAGGTTCTAATTAACAATATTAATCCAGCACATCGCTTCTGCAGTCTTCAATAGAACAGTTACCCCAAACTGTGTAGCAGTATTCTAAGATGGGCTTTATAGAATTGTAATTTTCTTCAACTGATAGCCCCTTTAGATTAAGAATTTAGTGCCGCAAGGATCAAACACGTAGTGATCAAACACGTACGGCTAGTGATGGTTAATGGCTTAAGACCTACATTATATAATACAGGTGCAGTCTTTGTCTGATTGGCAAGAATGTTTAYAAGAAAAACCTATTCATCAAAGTCAAATATATCATTATAACAAAGGTTTTAAGCTACAGAAAAGAAAATTGAAAAAGGGATGGCAAAGGTTTTCAATTTGTTGGTGAATAAAATATGAGCCTTTATGGTAGTTTCTCTAAGTTTCATTTCATGCAGTATAACAATTTTGACAAAATTACACTTTTAATTATGGTTTTGAGTTTTAAATAGTAACTTACAAATAATACTTTGTTTATTGAGAGTGAACACTACATTATTACTGGTCAGACCCCCAATAGTTTACATAATGACCCTTCTAAGATTAACCTAAAAAAAAACAATGCTTAAAAAAACTAATAAGTTTATAGAAACGTTGGTATTCTATATTGCGGAATTTCGTTTTAAAAACACATTATGCAAGCTTTTTTAGAATTAATTTGAAAGGTGGTCTTTCATTAGTCATTTTGAGGTTGAGGGGAAACCTGGGTCGAGTTAGAAACAGTCCCACAATGCACTGCAATGCCTCCTCGACCCAGTTTTTCCTCAACCTCGTAGTGACTAATAAGGTTATAGAGTGTGTACAGTAGTGATAAATGTGTATGCATAGGGTCAGGTTAATTTATTCATGAATTAGATATTCATGTATTCCTGTTACCATAGCAAATCACCGGAAACGGAAACGAATGGGGTGATGGATCGCCCAATGGGAGGCGGGAACGGGTGACGACGCGGGTGACGTAAGTGGGGATTTGATTTTTTTTTATATTTTCTTTGAAA